GGGAAATACCCAGCTGATGACAGCCCAGCCCTTATCTGCTCATTGATTTGGAGCAGAAACTCTTTGGGAAGCTGCAGTGGAAGTGCCAGACTTCCGCTGCTTTTCAGGAAGCTTATTCTTATCTACCAGAGACAGAGGACTTTAAATGAAAAAGAGTTTTAACCTTTGCCATGACTAGTAAGAGCCTGATAAATTTTAAATGCAGATATCTAAAGGTAGGTAGCAGGAAACAAATATGTATCACTGACTTCAAAAATCTCAGATTTTGAGACAGCCCTGGTTCTTAGAGATGTGTTTGTGCTTTCTACCTGTTTGTATTGGGTTTTTCTTATATTCTCCACTCTTTTTGGACTGTTTTGCACTTGTGGCTCAGATCTCAGGATAAGTTTTGCTGAGCCACTTGGCTGGAGCTGCTGAAACTCACCCCTGGGCTGACCAGTTCTTGAGTTATGGCCTTGTCATGGTTCAAACTCCTACTCTGAGTGAGATTGAATTGTCACAGACCACTATAAGGAGTAGGAGAGTAGGAAGCAGAGAGGTTAACACTTTATTTGCATTTATGGCAGCTTAAGATAAATGTTATTAAAGCATTACTCATCACGCAAAGAAAGATTATCATACAAAGGCAGTACAGGCAACGGGAAATGGGGGGTGAAGAAGCTGACAGCCATGACACTATTTGCCAACCACTTACTGCCCTCACAGACTTTTATCCCCATGGACCAAGATGAACTTTCAGATCTATATTAAGATATTGGAAGGCTTTCTGAGACATGATCTCCAGATACAGAAGGATTGCTGACCTCCAGCAATTTGCCCTAAATAAAATGCGAAAGGACTCAGCCTGCAACCAGCTCCCCAGAGAGGTGCTCTGTGAACCCTGGGGTGAACCATGGGGAAGGGTCTGGGTTCAATTTACTGTTTGTTCTTTACTAGGTGGGAAGGCAGCACATGTGCTTGATGCTGGAAGAAAACAGATCTGCACAGAATACCTTTGAGACCTTGCAAAAATATATCCTCCTGTCTCTGAAGTGTCAGCCTTCCAAAATGAGAGCAAGGAGCTGCAACTAGGCAGCATCTGCTCCCCTGGCTACAGCTGCTGACCTGCCAGGCAAGGCAGGGTAAGACCACTGTGGGGTAAAGATGCTCCTGCCTCTGAAAAGTCTGAAGTCTCCTCAGGACATGGCTGTAAAATGCCTACCAAAACGAAAAAGGAGAGCTCACACCAAGGACCCTGTCCATAGGGCAGTAGTTGAATCCCTGTGCCTGACATGGTATGGATCAGCCACAGGTCAGAAAGTGGGAAGGGGGAATCAGGCCCTGTGTGAGAGTTCCTTCACCAGCAAAGGGCCACAGGATGGAGCAGTCCCAGAGCCCAGACCATTCCCATCTGCTGGAACAGCTGGGAACAGCCCTACTCTCAGAGGTGCTGGAGGCATCCTTGCTGTAAAGTGCAGGACTGCAGCCACCAGGCAAATGGGCTCTGGTCTCTGTCTGCTCTGAGCTCCAACAGGGTTGGTGGGGGGAGACCAGCCTCTGGCCCTGGCCCACTCTTTCTGATTTACACAGGAAAGCTGTTTAATGTAGTAAAAGTCTCACAGTGAAAGACGTACAGACACTCTTAGCTTTCCAGAGAAATTGATGCTAATTACATTGTTAACCCCACTGGAACTTGGTAAATCCAAGACTGCCTGTGACCCTGGAGAAATGACAGCGTTTTATCAATGACCAGTGGTCTGTCTGGGACTGGGCAAAGATTGACAGAAACTGAGAAGTGCCCTGCAAAGCCAACCACTCCCTCTCCCTTGGCAGCATCAACTGCAGTGGCAGCACTGGCAGTAAGGCATTGCATTTCTGGAAGGCTTCTCCCAGAAGACCTCAAAACGCAACATAAAATTTAGGTTAAATTAACTTTAAAATGTTGCAGGTAGGGGGGAAATGAAGGTTACAATTTTCAAGTGTGCCTGTTTAATTTGGGTACCCAGTGCAAGCAGCTCAGGGGCTATTTTCACAGATGTTCAGTCCCTGTGGTGCAGGTGAAAGTTGTAGAAATTCCTCTGAATATGAAGGTGTCAAGCTGGAATCTCAGAGCAGAGCTACTATTGCAATAAGTGGAAACACTAGCAAATGAAACCTGAATTTTGCCTAGGGCCATATGGGAAGTTTGTATTTGATTCAGGAATTTGCACAGTCTTTCTTGATGTCTGCTATGCTTTGACAGGCTCAGTCCTGCTTTAAAATTTTGTGATAATGAGGATGTGTGAGTACTTTTAATGTCCCTCCTAGATACTTCTGTAATTAAATATGAACAGCATTGACAGTACCTGTTATGTAAGCTACACAGCCCATAGTATTTTGTTAGTTATCAGGTAAAAAACCCCAACTTTAAGAGGTCAAATTGAAAGAAACACCACCATGAGGAGAGCTTGGGGATGTTTTAATAATATTCTCAATATTGTCTTTTCTCCAATATGGGTTTTGGCAGGGTGGGGGGTGTTTCTTTGCTAAATATGTTAGTGGTTTTCAATGCCCACCACAAAGTCTAACTCAGCAAATTCCCCCACGGCTCAGCTGCTGTGGCTGCTGGGGAACACAGCAGAAGGGCAGCAATGCCCAGGGATGCCAGGGGGCAAGTCAGGCCAAGCATCATGTCTCCATTCTGAGATGATCTGGTCACCCTGATGAATATGATTGCTCTTTGTCCCAGGGGGAAAGAGAGCAGAGGGAAGAAGCATCCTCACACATGACCCACCAGTGGCCATTTTGGTCAATATTTAGTTGAAAGAGAAGCTCCACAGCCCTCAAATCTGACTGCCACCAGCAGTCTGTGACACAAGCCCAGCTGCCACCACATGGCCCATGCGTGCCTGTCCCAGTCACAAATGGGAAATCAGGTTTCTGTGCCCAGCATATGGCCATCCATGTGTAATTTATTTGTTACTTTTTATTTATTCCTACTCTGGAAAGAACAAAAATGTACAATCTCATTCATATCTTTAGGGAAAGAAAATGTCTTTATGAAATGATATTTATGTGCTCCTCTTACAATATCCTGGTAAATCAGAGGAAGTTTGAGGTCTAGATGCTTACAAAAAGAAATCTTTGCTTCTGGAAGCATGTAAGTTTTTAATCACCTGCTACATTTCAAAGCCTGGGGCTCATGTATTTATCTTTGCATACCTCAGGCATCTTTTCATCAAAGAGCTCTCTATTATTAGCTTTTAATATTAACAGATATATATAGTCTGTCTTCCTCTCCAAGGACCACAATTTTCTCTGTACTCTACAGGGAGTGACATGCAGAAACACTTTAGCAAATATATGGAGGCAAACAGTCCTTCTCTTCCGATGTCCTTAGGGGAAGCCCAGAGTCAGCAGCTTCTAAAGGCCAATAGCAACAGATTTGAATGATTTTTAGCATATCTATTTCTATCAGAAATCCAATATCCTTTATATGCTGAATAGCACCATTTATTTAGCTTGTAATGAAACTTACACATTTGTTCCAAGGACCAGTGGGATCCGTAACTCCCCTTGGCAATTAGAGACTTTACGTGAAAGAAATTTCAGAAGAAAATTTAAGGTAAAGTACACATCATGCAAATGCAATAGTTAAAATATTTTGTGAGACATATTAATTTTTACTAAAACTGATGGCCAGAAATTCACTTGCATTTGAAGTTTTAAGGCAAACATAAAATCCCTGCCTTCTTTGTTTCTACTCAGTTTGGTTTATGTTTAACGTAGTCTAGATGTTCCTCAGCTCTCCAGTCATCTGTGAACCAATCAGTACACATCTCTCCCCACCCAGTCTCCATTCTGCTAAGTCTGTAGGGGATTTTCAGTGGAAATAGAAAGTTTTCAGTTATGTTTAATTAAGAAATCAAGACCTATAAATTATCTTCCTTTCCATCCTAAATAGACATCTACCAACACACAAATACTGTTGGTCACCAGGAAATCTCTGTCCTGATAGTGAGAACAACTGGTGCTTATTTTCACCATCCCTGCATGTTCCTCCAAGGATGACACTACTTTAAATACATGTTTCTATTAGCAGCTAAACCAATTTATTCCATGCTTTCTACTTTCAAAAAGCAACTGTCTCAGATAATTCCTTGGGTACCCTCAGGACGTATCAGTTCCATGCTATCACACACATTCATGCCTAACATTTAGAAACAATTTCAAATATTGTCATTCCCAGAAAAATCATAGATGTGTATGTCTATCAAAAGATAAGAAAACCATATATGAAACCATAAATACTAATTTCAAAACATATAACTGGCGTTTAATCACTTTAATTTTTTTTTAAGTAATTGAAAGCCTTGGTTGTATCCTCCCCACCTTTTCCTGAAACCTAGAGAATTTTCAGACCATGCAGTAGAGCTGTTCCTATTTCTACTAAAAGTCATTTCAGAGTGAATTCATCTTCTATCTTTCTGCCAGAAAACTGTACTGACTCACATCCTCTTTAGCAGCATTAGGCATAAGCCCAGATCTTACAGGACCATGCAGCCACTGTTAGAGGACCATCAGCGTAGATTGTATTTCATTAAGGCAGCTTCAATCTTACTGAAAAAAAATGGCAAGACATTTCTATATTTGTAATACAATCTCATAGGCTCTTTTCTTAATGCAAACCTGCAGAGCAAACATTTACACTACTGTTTACATCCTTTCACCCCCATTATACCTAAAAGTTACCTTTCAACAGTGCTGCTTTCATGGCCAGGAGTACAGAATCAGTCAGGTTTTCTTGTAGCATCTGACATATACAGCAGAAGCAAAAGAAGCTTTTCCCCATTCAATTCTTTTTAAGATGTCCACACTGAACAGGAACAAATAATCTAACCACTCATGAAACACAAACTTCAACAGGAGAGTAAAACAGCTGCTGATATTCACTACTATGGAGGGTCACACAGCCCAGGTTGTTACTTTTTTTTCTAAAGCTTTAAGTGTGATTTATGCAGCCTTAGGGCATAAGCTCTTACCCAAGACCAAGGGGAGCCAATGGGGGTCTCTGGCTGGTCTTCTTCCTCAGATGACATCCTGAGCTGATAATTTTTCCCCGTTCTCCGCATACGCCACTAAACCCACTCTTGGTTGCTGCCATATACGAAAAGCTGCCTTCAAGTTTTAGCTGTAGACAACAAAGCTGCAGAGAATATAATTTCCCTGCGATCGTGTTTGCTTGCTAATTTTACCTGCCGAAGTTCTTGGAAGCACAGTCAGAGTAAGAAACCTGAGCTCAGTAAACCAGAGCACACTTTCCTTGCAACTGACTCCTCAAGTGTCCTAGTTCAGTCAAAAGGTTCAGTGAAAAATTAGAACCTGACAAACACAAATTCTCTTCCAAACAGTCAGTATCCTTACTTGCATATGAGATTTTATGGGCAGACAGTTTGCTGAGTTATAAACTCCGGAAACAGAATATAAGGAATTTTTACTGACAACATTTTATTCCCATCATTAATTATATTTTTGTATGGATTTTAATAGTTTGATTTTGTTTTCAAGACAGGTTCTTAATGCCAAAATCTAATTCTGCCTTTCTGCATAGTTGCACAGCTCCATAATAATAACTGTCTGTGTGTGAAAGCAGCACAGCTTTTCTGTTCTTCTGTGCAATAACATTTGAAAGAGGACCATTTTCTTTGCCATTTGTTCCTTTTGTTTTTCTCTTTTTGTCTAGTTTGCTACCAGCATGTACAATCCAATTATCATAGATCACACGCTATGTAACTTCAGATAAACTTGTCCTGATGCCTGTGAGACTTCTGGCTGTTTGAGCGGACAACTGAGTCCAGCATCTTGAAATCACGTCTGGCAGCTGGCAGGGATAGCAGTTCTGTCACCAACATCAGGCCTGAGGTTTTGTGCCCAAACTGACCACTAATTCACAGCTATGATATGCTTTCAAATTCACAACCTGTGGCTTGAATTTTATTATTTATTATTCCTCTGCTTATAAGGCATCCAGCTGCAGTAGCTGGTGAAAACCATCAAAACCCCTGAACCTTCTGTTACATGTCTGACTTTGGTCAAAGGCTTTTAAATCTTTCCGCTGAATTATATAATGAAATGAGCTATTTATAGCACCCCACTGCAGGAGAGTCCTAGTGTTAGCTAGGAGCTGATAATGCTTATCAAATGAACAAATATGCCCAGCTGTGCTTCATAATTAACCTTAAGCTATGTGCAAATTCAGGAAGTAGGAAAATTACCAATTGATAGAAAAAGAAAACTTTGAAAAAAATGGCATTGAGTAGATAAACAGCTTGTTGCTACTGCATAGTCTCTTGCTGCTGTGTCACTAAACTGGGCAGCATGTGAAGATAGAGAGGACTAGAAAGTGACAGCCCCCTCTGACAGCTGGGCAGCCCACCAGGCATCATCAGCTTGAGGATTAGGGTATCACAGTCACACAGACCATGATTTGATAGTATCATTTTCAACTGCAACATCAGCATCAGCTGGACTTGCTTCTGTCATCCTCCTTATCCCGAAATACAAAATGCAGGGCTTTTTAAAGTCTGAAACAGTTTCCTAAAACAATTTATTCTGGGGTCTCAAGAAGAGCTGTGACATCCCAGCTGACAGGGAAGTTCTCTGCTGGAGTTGCCTTCAAGCTTTGGGAGTATCGGGCATGAGTTTTATTCCTGTGTATCAACCAAAACTAACACAGCTGCCAAACTACTGTGAATGTCTGACATGGCAAAGGAAATATCAGTTTGTATCACAGGAGAAGCATTATGTGCAGGCAACATCTGTCAACTCACTCCAGTTACTCATTGGGCCTATGAGAGTCTGCTGGGCTGCCCTCAGCATCCCTCAGGCACTGTCACACTGTCATGCTGCTTGGTCTGACCTGCTCCTGCCCCTGAAACTCTGCCACTCTGGCCCACTGGTACCAGTCTGACAGACTTTCCACCTGATGAGTGTCTTAGGATCACAGAACAGTGATGTGGAAGACACAGGGAAGAGATTTTCAGAAAAAAGGGTGCTTACTTAGATGCTTTCACATTTCACATTAGAAGCTCTGAATCTGAAGTGTCCCAATAGCCAAGTTGTAGGATAAATCTTCCAAGAGAAAATAGCACAGCACTTAAGTTACCAAGATGCTCAAGTTACTCATTTCTGTTGTACACCAAATGTTAAGACTGTAAGCACAGAAACCCATTTATTAGCTATCTGACAGATCGCATTTTCTTTCTGGAACAATTTCAGGGAAGGAAATTCAACACAATTCTTCTTATTTCAGATAAACAGGGAATGCCACACCTAATGAATTTCAATGGCATTCCTGCCTCTGCTGAAAGGTCTATTCACTAAATTTAAAAGATAGGAACCACTGTTTGCTGGAGTAATTTTCCACTGTCCCACCCATTTCTTCTGATAAATTTACTTTCAAGCTGTGTTGGCTAAGTATAAAAATCTATTAGAAATAGCATTTAAATAATTGTAATATGCTTCATATTGTTTATTTATAAAATTCTTCAAGAAGTGGGTATGCATCTTTCTCAGCACACTGTATTTCTGAGGCCTTTGTCATTTTGTGGACTGTCCAACCTCAGGATCTTTCTGCTTTCTCCAGGAAGCACTAGCAAGTGCAAGCATTTCTTCTGTGCAACACAGATGCATCCAATGACCACTCCTAGATCAGTGCATTTGGTATCTCATGTCCAAGGGCGACCGTCACCAAACACTTCTGATGAATATATCCAGAAACTGAATAATAACAAGATGTAAAAGGAACTTGCTCTGTAATTTTCATATATGAGGACAATGGTTCCCAGACTTTTCCCAAGGTTGCCGCCCCCACTACATGCTTCCCATCCCACCTCCTGCTGTCATGACCACTGAGCCAGGCCATTGTTTCTTTGCCTTCTTCCCAGTTCTCACAATCCCAGTAGCTGCTTTTTCCTTCCCTCCCTTCTCATTTCCCCACTCTAAGGACTTCACAATTTTGTTGCTACTTTCCCAGTTTGGTTTTTAACCAGACAAGACAAATGTGGAACACGGGCTGACACAAAATTGACAGATGTTCTCAGACTCGCACTGCACACGGGCTTCATATTGGTTTTCAGATACCTGCTCAGCCCATAGCCTCTGTGAGATCCTGTAGCAACAAGTTTCACTGGATAATTATGCACTGTAAACACAAGTTTTGATGTCGTTTTTAAACCATGTCTTATGATTTCACTGCATGATGACACAGGGTAAACAGGAGCCAGCTTCTTTTTATAAACCACGCTTGCAAGTGCTGTATCATGAGAAGGAAAAAAAATGCTTGTAATCATTCCAGAATATTTAAATATAGTAATATTAGCTCATAGTAACCTTCACATGAACTTTATTTTGTGAACTGATGAGATTATGTTATCTTGTTTTTAATAGAATGATTGTTCAATGCAAAGGTTAATTTAAGATATTTTAAAATACAATCACAACTCTACTGTACTGGGACAGTGTCACTCTCCTAAGATAGTTTTACTTTCTCCAGTTTTTTCACATTACTGCAGTTGCCATGGACAAAGTGTATGGAACTAAACACCCGTGGCAATTCATAGCATCACGTATCTGAAACGGGGCTAAATTAAGAAAGCAAAAATAAAATCTACCTAACACAGCTGCTTAGTCATAACTTTCCTGGTTTGCATCTCCTGCAGAAGTAAGGTTCAAGATGCTGCGTATTCAGATCAAACACAAACCATCAAACAGGTGCACGAGGCTGCCAGCGTGCCCCAGCACAGGTGCCAACTTGTCTGGGAGAGATCTTCCAGATTTATGGCTGATAAATAAACATTATTTACAAGAATAATTTAGATTCTAGTAGAAAGAAATCACATCGTCAGCAAAAAACAAAGGTTCTGTGTGTTTGCAAAAACACATACATGCAAAGGTATCTTATGATATCGAATCAACTCCATGCCATACACATGACCCACTAACCTGTGAGGCAGTATCTGTTCTCCAAACTGCTACTGGTCCCCATATGTAATAACAAGTAAAAACTCACTTTCCTATCAATCCTGTTGTCTCTGAGCATAAAGAAAATTGTTAAGTTGCTGTTAACAGCACCACTCAACATCTTCTACAGCACCACAGCACACATTGCCAGAATAATAATTCTTAGTACACTCAGGGTTTAAATGCATAATCAACATATCAGTCATGTAAGAGGTGTGGAGAGATTTTCTTCTATTTATATTGCTATATAAATCTAAATCAAAAATTCTCAGTTTTCTTTAAGATTTTAATCAAAACCACATTTATGTATGAAGCAGCTTTATGAAGTCTCTCTTAAAATCATGGCAATTGATTCCCAACACCTTTTTCTCACTGCACAGGAACCTTGCTGTTATATCCAACACCCCATCACCACCTTGCCAAATATGTCAGCAACAGGCAATGCCAGCATTTGGACTATTGCTTCAAAACTGCCGGAGCTGTGACCTCCACAATCATCAATGGTAATTTGGGGAGCTGTCAAAACAGGACTGAAAATGTTATAAAAGCATTTGAAAACCACCAGAAATGCTGAGTATTTCTTCAGGTGCAGAGTGGAGCAGGTATAAGGGACAGAAGACAGTCAGCAGGCAAAAGGATGTGTGGGACTAGTTTCACTGTTCACTGTAAAGTTTTACCCTTAAGGAAGTAGAAAAACTGGAAAAATATGGATTTTATTTTGTGCCAGCATATCCACCATATTTCAGTGACAGCTGATGAAATATTAAGGCTGGTTCTTGAGAGCTGGGGGATGATGTGGCAGCAGAGGACTCTGGTGGGAGAGTTGAAAGGCAGCATGGCAGCTATATGTGGATGAACGTGGTGAGAGGCTGTGCCACGGGGCTGTGGTGGGCTGTGCTCACTGGCCAAGTGATGCATGGCAGAGGGATGCAAGCAGAGGTTGGGCTTTATGACAATTGGAATGCATTACCACCCTGAGAAACAGCTCTGGCACAGTCAGTTCTGCTACAGGCACTGTGGCAGCAGGTGGGGAATGGACAGGAGTGATGTCTTGCAATCCCCACCAAGCTGGGACCAGTCGAGCAGCCTGTGGCACGTGGCTGGGACTTGTTGAGCTGGGTGCTCACGCCACCCACATGAATTTCAACTGCCACAGAAATCCAGATTCTCTCATACTGCACACAGTCCC